GCTCCTGTGACTCCGGTAAGCTCTGAGTATGACTTGGACCAACATAGTCTATCACTGTAATGGGGATTCAGACGTGTAGCAGTACCGTTGACGTGGAGCCGAAACCCAACACAGGCATATCTGCGGTGGAAAACCAGTTGAAGTCCGCGGGGGGATAGAGTTCAACGTGTCCTTCGGAACATGCATGCACCCGCGGTGTCGTCTACGAAACCGCACTCTAAGCGCGTGCTAAGGTGCACAAGCGGTCGTGTATGGGAACAGAAATATTTGTGTTTCTTCGTGATTCTACGCTTGGAACAGTGTGAAGCCACGCACACAAGAACTAAGATACCAATCCCATTCCTGTATGGTTTTGTGCGTTTCAGAAAACAACACCGAAGAGTGCGGGTACGACGGAGGAGATGTGAGTATGCAGCATAACCAACAAGACTTGGAGTCGGTTGTGTATGGACCAGCTCGGACTTCTGCGTCCGTTGAACGGCGATGGGCTGAAAGTCGTTTGCTGCCATGGCTGCTCGAATTCGTGCCGGCTTCGTGCAGCTTGTACATGTGCGTCCAAATTGACGGGAACGCGTCGATCGGAGCGCCGTGTCATATGTGTTCCGTGTGCTCTGAACCGCCTTCCTACTGGATGCTTGCGAGGTTCTCCAAAAGGCTTTGATACGTCGGGGGTGTGCTGGCCCCGACAAAGGAGCCATGCCTAGAACTCTCTCTCAACTACAATCGTCCCGACTGTTTCGAATACCCTACTACGCAGTGCTGTGAGTGCGATTGTATATCTGGGCTCAACGATGATTGTGGCAGAAACGGATACGACTGTCAGGATGCAACGTCGGAGTGTACAGGTGGGCCGTTCATGACGTTGGCTGGTCACGGTGCATGTCTGTTCCAAACACCCGGACGAGGTCGCTGAACGACGTATCTACGGAGTAACTCATGGTTCCAACGTTTGAACATAGAGAAATCTTTTTCAATGGCGCATTTTCTATGGACAGAAACGTACTTGCTAATACTGTAGTCCCATGGACCATGAACATAGGTGGATGAATGGCTACCTTACCTCGCACGTCTAACAGAGTAAGCGATGGTGCCATGGCCGATTTGCAAGAAAGACTACACCCAGACACGGACGATTCTGGTAATAGCTAAGCCGAAATTGGCCGTACGTTACCCTTGAGGTGTTTTCTGCCACGTTATGAGGCGGGGATGGATGAGCACCGCGAGATATTGCGAACGACAAACGATCAGCTTAGGGAAAGAAGAGGCGCGCACGAAAGTCGCCTACGCCACCCTAGGCCGTTGCTTCAAGGTGTCAGTCCGATGTTGTGTCCCTTTTTGCGGGAAGAAAACGCCGGGGCGCAGTTTCGGAGGATTTGCAAAAATCACTTGCTACGTGGCATGGTTTACGTGAACAACGTGTTTCTTGGATAAAGTCTATGTACCCACGACCAGCTATCCCCGGTGTCCCATGAAATGAGTTGTTTTCTTCATTTTTTCTAGCTGACATGGGTGCTGTCCCTGTCAACAACGCACGGCCGAAATGGCCAGCCCAAGACCAGTCGGTTCAGAGATGGCCGTGTTTCGTTGAGTGGAGAGAAAACAAGAAAGCTAAGAACACGAAAAAAGCTCAACCATCTAGCATGTACTGTGGTGAGATGATGGCGAAAACAAAATTTAACGCTCTAACCCTCGTCCGTTTATCCTTTCCTGATTAGTCCGCCCAAATTTCAGCTATCGCGAACGGAGACTCGTCTAATGGCCTCTTGCCCCCGTCGCCAACTTCGCCCCTCCGTTCGTTTTTCTCTGCCCCTCTGTGGCCCCGGGTTTACGTTTGATCTCTACACGTACAGCCTGCACAAACGATGATGACTGCGACGCCGACATGAACGAAATATGTTGTCCCGACACGAACGTCTGCGAAGTGCGAGACACAACGACCGGGGCTTGCGGTGAGAAGCCCATCCGATGCTCAGTAGAGAACCTTCCTTTAAACCAGTAGAATAGTCGTCGCTCTGAATGCCGAGGATCGATTCGGGGCCGATGCATCCATGCCAGTGTTACCCGTAGCCGTCAACGGCGCGCGTCACGTTTACATTGTGTTGATCTCGAAAACGACCAGACGAGGAAACGGGTGCTGGAAAACGAGGCGTTCGTGTCGCGGCTGGGCGGGGTAACTTGAACACTGCCACGGGTTCGTTCCTTCTCTCTCTCCCCTCCCTCCTTCCCTCCCTTCAGGTGACCCTCACATGACGGGCTTCCGCGGCCAAAAGTTCGACTTCACGGGGCAAGACGGAGGCTGGTACTCGGTCCTCTCGGATATGCCGCGCATCCACCTAAACATGCGCGTAACGTCTCCCGTTCCATCCGTGCCCGAGATCACGTACATCACCGGACTCGGAATCGCGACCACTGACGCCGACGGTCTAGATCACACCATTGTTATCACGGTCACAGACCCGCACAGTCTGGATAGTGCCTGTCCCGTGGGAGTTTCACCTTGTCTGGCGGATGGTGCATTGACGGTGCAACTCGACGGTAAAGATGCTCTACTTGCCCCCGGCGAGGTTCTCCTTGGACCCCAAGCGGCAATCTCTGCGGTCAACCTTCCTGGCGCTTGCAGGTAGCTAAGCGAAACACGAACTTGGCCTGGTGATGAAGGTCCTTGCAACCGCCTGATGTCTATTCCCCCCCGGCGACAGTATCTGAGAACTCGTCAGGCGAGTGGAAACAACATGTTCTCGGGCGCCCAGAGTTAAATGCGTGGTATGTGCTCATGTCCCAACAACATTTGCGCGTTCGTTCGTGGATCCCGTCAGGTCTTTCGGGTTTGAAGAGTACTGGGAGCGCAAGAAAGAAGAGTACGCTCGTGACGGCCGAAGGCTTTCTTCTTCCACGCAGATGCAGGCGATGTCCGACTGGATCCTAGGTGACCCTACCGCGACCAACATGGCCGAGTGCACGGAGTATGTGGTGGAAGCGACGAGAAACGGCTTGGGTGGTTTGCTCGAGCATGATTCGGAACACACATCGTTCCAAATCTTGACCCCGATGGGCACGATCCGGCTGAGCCATGGCCGCCTTCACCAGCTCCCCATGCGTGACCCGACGGACAGTTTTGACCTCCCGGACCATCTCACGTGGCAGATGAACCTGGCCATCGACCGCATTGACGTGAGCCCCAACGCCACTGGTATCCTCGGCGAGACGCAGAAGCCCACTCTTGATGCCAACGGCAGCCCCATCATGCAGGGTATGGCGTCTATCCGCGGGGCTCAGGACGACTGTGAGTGAACCGCTCTCGTTGAATGTTTCGTAGTGTCGTTCCGGTTTCGAGTTCCATGTGGCGAAGTCAGGTAAGGTAGCACTGTATTCGACTTGCAACGGGAAAATGTCGACTTGGGCATTGGACTAATTCGCCGCCAAAACAACCTCAACGTAGGGAGTCAATCGTCTCGAGGAAACTCGCATGAATAGGGTGAAAAGGGAAAACAAACGGCAATTTTCATGCCGCATTGAGCAAAAGCATTACGCGGGCACAGCAGTTCCCCTTTCGCTTGCCTCAGGAAACGTTTTCACGACGCTTTTGACACCGGTCCCGGATACCAACACGCTGTCGATCGAACCCACGCAGACCTTGTCGAGGGCCCCCTGGACAGCGTGTTCACCGCAGCCCACATCCACATCTAGGTCACCCATCGGCCCAGTTCGTGCGGATTGAGTCACATCGAACGTCCTACATTTGACGATTGTTCGACACTGCGATTGGTTCCTCTCGTGTCTCCTGGAGTCGTAATTCTGCTTGGTGAGCCAGACGTGGAACGTCGATTATATACTTTTGAGTTATGCTTTGTGAGGAGAGCGATGGTTTGCCATTGTGGCCTGCCTCGGCCTCTACGCGCTGTCAACTACTCACATATTGCGTTGGGGTGGTTCCGCTTTCGGGTCTTTGCAAGAGGTTAAACGGTAGGGCTGTAGACACTGCGGGGGTAGGGAAAGACTAGGTGTAATGGTTTGGAACGAAACTTAACATCCGCCATGTCTCGACGCGGGAGGGATTTCGAGGTGAACTGAACTGCAGTGAGGATGGTATTATTCCAAGCGTTCCGTGCTATAACCTTCGCCCGATGTAAACTTGGCTTTGGAAGACACCTGAATTTCATTTCAAGCGAACGGCTGTTGGCCAACATGTGCCAATAATGCATTGTTTTCGAAGTACTAGACCAGCAAACACTTGAGGTTGGTTTTAGGGCCGGCTAAAAGGATGCCAAGTCATTTCTAGTGTATTTTTCCGTTTATCCCCGTGCTCCCTCTTGCGGAATCAAAGGTGGCTCATTACGTTCCACTGGTGGTATGTTGGAGACACCCCCTAGCTGCAATTTCTGTCATTACACGACGTTCGCGTGATACTCGAGGCGAAATACATTTGAGTTTCGAATGCTTGGTGCTTATGCACCAATCCCCGCCTTCGTATGCATACATCGTTGTAACGGTGAGAAATGAGCGAAACAATGTGACGGTTCTTGCCCATATTCCCGCTTTTTTCTGTGGCGATTCTTTAGGGCTAGGTAGATCGTTTTTTAGGGCTTCTTTACCTGCTTAACCCCTTTGAACTATTCGACAAGGGCGGTGCCGGGGTACACGGGGACAACTCTACCGTAGTCTAGTGTGGGTGCTTTGTAGCGCGGATGGGTATGAGGGTACTGACAGGTCGAATCGCGGGACGATTATGCTGTGGCGTCTGTCTACCCTTGGGTGGAAAGCGCTACTAGGGGCAACCGCGGAAGAGGCACCTAGCCCATCGCTGAAAGGAGGCACCGGGCAACCTAGGGCTTGGGTTAGAATAGAAGGTCTACCAGTCCCTCTAGAGGAATATCTTGAAAAGCTCATTTGCCTGCCTGCCCCGTTTACCACGCTCCCGCCAGCTGTTGTCTAATAACCCTATCAAATATCCACTCGACATTTGACATTTGTTAGGGCTTTTAGAGAAGAGAAGGCTCAGTCAGGTGGGAAGGCAGCGTTGCACTTGCACACAGGGATGGAACAGTTTGCATTGTCCAATCAGCAGGCGTCGTTCTCTCATTTTCTTTCGTTTCAGAAACTTCGCAAGAACACCGAATTTGAAGCAACTGGTACGGAGTTATCAAATGGTTAGAACACCTTGGCGTTGGGGTAGATCTTTCGGAGATTGCTCATGCTGCATGTTTTGTCGGTTCCTCATCTTGGTACTCTTTCACTTGTCTCGATACCCAACGTTGGCTCGGTCACTGAGTCGACAAAACCAACCACGGCGCCATGAAGAAGCTTCGAGCGATCCCATGATGGTCACAGCCTTGGTTGAGCCTTTGGTGGCTGGCAACTGCGACCGCCCGGCGTGGCGTGCGGCAAAAGTCGAGGCGTTGGCCTCTGTTTCGTGTTCATATAGGCATACGAGGTGTACGTGCGGCTAGCGGGCGAACCCACAGCATACATACAATCGCTAAAACCAAGGAGATTCTTCTCCTGAGAAACTCCTGTACCACTGCACTTCTCGCATCACTTCGAGACGCGCTTTCGCCATGATCGAACTACATCTGCGGCCCCAGTTACCGAAAGACCACAAGCAAGTTCCCTACCCCCCTTAAGATCTATTAAAGCCGGCCCTTCATTCACAAGAGGTGCCGTTCCAAAGCGCTCCCCACTGATGAAACACGGGAATCGAATGTCTATACGTACTGTTAAGTATGCTCTCAATCACAATATTTCACATGTAAACGCGACCTCCGCGCCTCTCCGTTACCCAGAGGCGCCCACACGCCCAAACAAACACCCATCACCCGCTGAGACGCTCTTCGTCTCATCAAAATATGTACAATGTACATCACCGCACAACGCACGTTCTCTGCCACCTGGGCGGGAACCCGTTGACACCTGTCGCCAGTGGGTAGTAGACAGGCAAGAACGCTCCACCCGGGATAAACGGCATGTGTCCTGGCGCACGGGGTACACCCCACCCGCCGCGGCCGCCGCCGCCGCATCCTCCCGCGTACCTCGGGTCGTGGTAAATCGAAGGTTGTGGTACCGGTGGCAACGGCACCGGGGCTTGGGGCGGGCGGAACACGCCTGCTCTTCCTCCCCCGACATATCCACCCTGGTGCGTCTGCCTTGTCGAGGACCCCGAAGGGAAGTACTGAGAGGGTGCGACACCTACTCCCCCCACGGCCCACGACTGCTGGTGCAGCGGGTATACCCGGAACTGCGGGTGCGGGCGCGGCAGCACCAGGTTGTTCGCCGCGGCGGGGAGGTGGTGGTGCCCCCATGCAAGCAGCACGCCGGCGTGGTGTTGGTGGCGGTGTCCCTGGCGGAGGGAAGAAGAAGATCCGTGGCTCCTGCTGCCGCTGTGGTGCCCACCGTGGCAGGCATTCGTCCTGCCCTGGCCTTGGGGACCGCGGGGGTTGAAGGGGCAGTTGTCGGTGGGCGAACGGCGGGACCCCCCCCCGTGCAGTGTTGGTGGCCCTGTGGGAATTGGTGACACGGCCGGCGTCCATTCTTGCACCACCGGCCGCGTTCCTCCTGGTGGTGGACCTCCTCGGCGCAGGACCCGCAGGGAGTCGGTTGCTGTGGTGCGACGTGCGAAGCCCCCCTCCGTCACCTCCTCCAACGACATAGGGAGCGGCATCGTTCACCGCCAACGCCCGCGGCACCAACCCTGTCCCTCGGCCTCCTTTTGCCCTTACCACTCGACCTGCCGCCGCTACATCGCCGGTGCGTGGTGACCTTCGCCTCGCCGGATGCTGCAGGAGGCGTGCTTGGCTGTCCACCACTCTCCTTCCTCCTCCCACCGCCGCCGTCACCGCCACCCCTCCCCCCGCACCAGCAGACACCGGCATCACCGCCGCGGACCCCCCGGTAACAACTTCGCTCTGGACAACCGATGCTGTGCTTGCGACCGGCACAACATGGTGATCACCCCCGCTGCGACCGTTATGGGACGGTATTCCTCCAGAAACAACTCCCAACACGGGCACGGAACCTTCCTGGAGGGGTCGGGATACGGTCGACCTCTGTACGTCGGTGGCTGGCGTCGCCAGTGGAGCAAGAGCTGAACGTCCGCCTCCTCCTCCCTCCTCCTCCTCAGCAGCAGCACTACCGTCGGCTGTTTCCCTCGAAACGGCGGGGCCCACCGCCACCTCCGGGAAGATCGACGGGATGACGTTTACCCCTGCAACGGCCGCGACCTGCTGTGGAACGGCGCTCCCGCGTCCTTCGAAAGCTCCAGACACCGCCTCGAGGGTAGCGGGCAGCGGCGGCGGCGGGTGGGGCGCTCCGTGGTCGTCGGCGACGCCACCCGTTCCGGCGTCTGTGCTGACCGTTCGGGACGGGCCCTCCCCAGCCACCGCTGCCGTCGCCGCCAAGATGACGCCCCTGGTCTCGATCTCGAGCAGGCACTCGTTCATGTCGTCCAACTCGGCGAGCATCTCGGCCATGGGAGGTCGCTTGGTCGGGTCGGGCGAGAGCGCCTTGGCGAGAAGGATGACGACCTTACAAGCACAGGCGGTAACGGAAAGAGGGAGGACGGAGGAGAACGGATGGTCATTTGAAGAGTGATAAGCTGGAGAGGGCAACGTGCAATAAGGGGCGCAACACTCACTCCAATCTCACAGCTAAATGGCTTTGCGGCGGGGTCATAAAATCGCTTGTTGACTGAGACTGAAAATAAACGTACGTGTGAAAATAAGGTCTTCTATCAGCGGCTCAGTCATTTGTTTGTCGTTTCGGACGCGATCAGTCTCGGTTTCTCGGGCTGACAGGCTTTCCACGCGGTTTAAGGAGTACCAGGTGCAGAGTCAACACGCCTTGGTCATATATCCTCGCGGATGTATTGTGAACGGGCTGCAGACTGATATCACTACCAAGGGCATGGATGGATGGGTGAAACAACTTGGAAGTTACACGCGCTTCCTAAGCTAGATTCCGAAGGTCCATGGTCCTTTCGGTTGGAGACTCTTGATTTGGTCAAAAACCGGTGACAGGTGGTGCATAGAACGAAACGTTCAAGGTATGCACGATAGACTATGTTCATCATGAATAGCGGTATCAGTATTGTTTCGTTGGTCTAGCGGTTCGCCGTTGATCCATCAGATCAATAGTTTGCATAAATGTTCCTTACTCCGAAAATGCTGCTGTTCGGTGCTCTCACCTTCTCCTTGACGCCGTCGGTGAGGCCGTCATACAGGTGCTCCGGATTGAGCAGGGCTGCGCGAGCGCGAGGGTCGATCTGGTTGCGCAGCGTCACCTCGTCCTGCACATGTAGATATTGTTTCGGACGGGTACAGCAGGGCATTCGATGGCGTGGCACGGACGGGGAAACGGGGGCGTGAGGAGTTGAGGGTACGGTGGCTCTTTTTACTCCCTTACCCGAACGACCGCCAAGTTCTAGCGTCAAACCGCATGACAGGAACGAGCCGCTCAACCAGGCGAAGGGTATAGGACTTGAAAACGTGCAGGTTTTACATCCATCCAGGATCGATTTGATGGGGGAGTATAGGTCATATTGGTGAGTTTACGCCGACGGGTATAGAAACCAACCTGACGGCGGTCGACAAGGACAAGACCTTGACCTGGGAAGGAGTTTGGCTGGCACCACTACTGTAGGGGAAGAGTCTCATCGATTGGGTATCTCATTCATTCTTGACCACATCTCACAACACGAACACCAACACACCAACACTACGCCATACTACATTGTATCCCATATCCGTCTCACCCTCGCACACGTATTGAAATACTGCTGCTGTACATGGCCCAAACGACCAGCCGTGGTACTTGCTTGTGCTCGAAAAGGAGATAGATGCCGAGAATCGACGAAGATGGTATGTTCCATCATCGTAGAAGTAAGTGATGATACCAACACCACCAACTCGGCCATACCATGTAGTGCTTAAGTCCGCCGTTGCTGCCTACCTCGCTGCCTCACGCGAATACCACCGGCCGTACACGGGAGTTTTTCCCCATCATGGCAAGGAGGGGGAGGGGGAGGGGTGTGAAATGTTACCTGCTGTTGCTTCGGTTTAACTCACCATAAAATGGTGCTTGGAAGCAACAGAAGCATTTCTCGCTTCCATCGTGCTGGCGATTTCCTTGTCGCCATCCGTCTGGACCGCCTGAGACAATACATATGTTGCGGATAGTGCAAAGACGATACATTTCTCTCTTAGCCAGTAGTTGGAAACAAATGTAATCGCAACAAGTTTAGAAGCAGCGGATCGACGAGGGAAATGGAAATCAGATTGAAATCCAGCATTTGGCAAGTGGATTGCCGTGGTACCAAGTCACCGCCTCTATCACGCGAGAATATCGAAGGGCAACATATCCATCGCCACCAGCAACAACAGCAACTACAGCGCGCATCACCAGCACCCACCTGGCTGAACCACATATTGCTACTCTTCCACTCGTCCTTCGTTAGCGTCAGCAATACCATGTGCGCCAGAGCGAACACGTCCTGAGACGGCTCGCACGCGACCTCCCGGCTCATCATCCCTTCTGGCACCTGGCCTCCGATCGTGCCCTGCCCCCTCCTCATGTCTCCGTGAGCTGCACGCCGCAAGAAACAAGCGGACGCGCGTTACTAACCAAGGCATTGCAATTCTGTTCCTGATGGCTGGTCTCCCGTCTTGCGGTTGGTACCCCTTGCATTCGATGCGGGGGGAAGGAATGATTGGTTGCCATCATGTTCTCGATGGGCCTTCCGCCACCTTCCCCAAACCTACCGCCCACCACCACACACTGCCCTTCCTGGATTAGTGCCTCCGTCGACTTGTGGAAACAAGTTATTTCCGTAACTCCAAACACCACGTTGTTGCGCCTCTCTAACCTTTTCTTCCCGTCGTGTTTGTCTCAGGACACAATCGCTTCTATATTGCGTGTCATGGAAGATCCGGTGTGTCAGTGCGTGCAGACGCTAATCAACAACCTGATTTTGTAGGACCACTTTAGACCTCTTCAGAACCTCATGCCGCTGATTCCCGTCTTTCGAGGGTGCCATTACACTCGGCTTTTGATTTTTTCTTGTTCCGTACGTTACTCGCGCCTCTAGTCAAGGCGTATGCATAGATATATGGAACTTGTCGGCAAGTGGTAGAGGTACCTTGAGTATGTGGCCGTTTGTTGTAGGAAGCTCCTGAGATGTTTTGGGACCACTGCGGCATTTTGTGCGACTGGATTCATTGCCAGTTTGTCATGTTAAAGGTACGTGACGACTTGCATCGCGCCCCCACCGCGACACGCGTGCGCGCCTAGGTCTCTTAGCACCCCGCTGCCTGTGCCTATGCCGTGCCCCTCTACAGAATGCCTCTCAGGATCGGTCATGGCAATATCAACAACGGCACACCACACATCTTTGACGCGAACCAACGTAGCTATGTTTGTTCGAGTTGGCGTATTATCCATCATGAAGTCGTTATGTGTAGGAGTATGTGATTTGTCCCTCAACGGCTACGACCACGATAAACAGCTAAAGCTACTGTAGAAGCCCCAACAACTGCTGAAGAGCAACGCACGCTAAAAAGGACCACCCACCGAGAGCACATCCGAGGTCGGTAACCTTGGCAACGAGCACCCCTGAGTCTTGAAAGACCAGCATGTTGCCGGGCTTCACGTCGTTGTGGCTAACCCCATGTCGGCCGAGGTGCTCAAGCCCTCGAGCCATGTCGGACAACAGCCTGTAAAACGGGTTGTTTGGCAATTGACGGGTAGGCTCGGGTCAGGGCCTGGGTTTGGGGGGTTTTCACGCACGTCTTCCCGAATGTTGCGGAAGGGAGATCGTGCGTGCCTGGTTGTTGTTCCACGGAGCGGGAGTGGCGGGGCCCTTGGCGAGTGATGCATCTACCTTGACGCAGAGCACCGTCGTTGATGGCGTTGGAGATAGAGTCAATCCCGACGCTGAGGTTGAACTATATGTTGTTGTGTCGTTTGTGTTGCGTATTTCACAATGGATACTCTGTTGCCAGGGAAGGGGAAGCCCGGGCGTGGAGCGGCATCGCTACGGGCAGCACGGTATCAACCAAGCAAGAAGTTCATGAGACACACAGAGGTGCCGGAAACGTAGATGTGTAGATTTCGACGATGTGGGGGCGGAGGAATTTTCTGTGTGTAGGTGTGTATGGTGGAGGTAATGGGCTGAAGGAAAGGGGGGGAGGAGGTATCGACCCTCCTCCGTATTCCTAGGTAGAGAGACTTGCTTCTGCAAAGACGTGAAGACGGCATAGGAGAACTGTCTCACCGCGTGAGCATTTTTGGGCTGGACGGGATTTGCCCCGTGGGGTGTGTTCTTTCATTTTTTGCAGAAGGGGACCTCTCTGCCTAGGAACGCCCCCCAACCCTCTCCCCCTGCATACAAAACACACATACACACCGACAATGCCGCCACTCCTACCTCGTCGACATCTCCATCTCTAAGTTGCCGATCATCTGTCTGTGCTTGTCTCCTTGAAGTTCTAGTTTGGGTGAAGCGTGCAGCCGGAAATGATGCCACTACACGCCCGGCCGGGTGATCCCTTACCCTCCGAGACGATTCTCTGCCTCGAAAGAAACGATACGAACAACACAACAGCCAATGTCTCAAAGTGACGACTCGACGTCAACGACCCCACCACTGCACGTAGACAGGAACAGCAACCAGGCACGATACTCGCTGGAAACGTTCAAAGAATCTTGTGCCCAGTCCCCCAAACCCAAGCCCTGACTCGAGGCTAGCCCCCAATCGTCAACCAACCCGTTTTGCCAGACTATAGTCCGACATGGCTCGAGGGCTGGGGCACCTTGGCCGACATGGAATTGCACACAATGACGTCAAGCCTGGCAACATGCTGGTCTTTCAGGAAGCATGTAGCCGAGGAAGCATGTTCCCACCCTACATCCTTCCTCGAACACCAACATGTTGCCAGGCTTTACGCCATTGTGTGCAAAATTCCATGTCGGCCGACGTTCTCCGGCCCTCGAGCCATGTCGGACAATAGCCCTGGAAAAACGGGTTGGTTGATGATTGAGGTCTAGGCTGGAGTCAGGGCTTAGATTTGGAGGCCTGGACCCTGGGTTCATCGAATGTTGCCAAGGGGGATTGGACCTAGTATGGTCCCGGGTGGTTGGGTGGGTAGAGGACATTGGGAGAAAATGTTTCTAGATCGAGTAGAGTTCATGTTCGTTTTCGTTGTTTTTTCGACGCAGAGAATCATATCCCAGCGTAGGCGGTATTATTTGGGGCTGCAATTCCAAAAGTGCCTGGACGGCTAGGACCGCCATGAGACGCGTGCAAATGGTCGGCATTGAAGACAAAAAATTGGACCCAATCCGGTGAACGTGGCGTCCGAGAATTTGCTTTTTGGTCGAACACTGACTCACCGCATGAGCACTCCGGGGCTAGCCAGGACTTGTCCCGTGGCGTAGCCATGGAAGTCGTCCACGGCTAGGTCATAGAAGACGACCAGGGAGTCCTTATCCCGGTCGTCCATGGCGGAAGGCCCGGCGATGTTGGCATGCGGCGGCATGCTGTGGAAAGAAAAGAAGAATGGAAGAGCAAGATGTGGCTCACTGCTGCATGGTTGATCAGGCCCAAATGAGGAAGGAGCCTCTTTTCGGTCAAACTTGGACTAGCGCAAGAGTAGATTGTACTTGTGAGGTCGTACGGCACATGCGGGCTGTCAAGCGATGAGGCTACGTTGTGACCGCCCTATTCGTATGGTTGGCGCGATTCTTCTTTTCGACGTTCGCAATGTCGGTCATATTCTCAGCGTCTCTCTCTGGGTTATGATGGTACGTCGGGCCTAGAGGCAGACTGGAGTTGGTGCTTCTGTTTGTCCTGCATGTCAACAACCCAGCATTCAAACACAGGCGTTCCACCTGTGCAACGCAAAATAGTGTCCCTCTCTCGCACACTGGCTCTCACTGGGGTAGGCACGGTGAAACTCTGACTAAAGAAATTACATGAGCGGACGATGCAGGTGACATTATCATTTTTCGTCCAGCACCAGATATGGGGTGTATCCCCCCGTCCCCGCCCCCGTCCCTCAAATGTTCATTATAAAAAGGACGTACCAGCCTGCCCACCCGCCGCCTCTCACCTATTGTGAACGATCATCTCCGTCAGGAGACCCGCCTGAGCACAACCTCTCATCCAGGAACCATTGTCCCCGCCTTCTCCTTGCTGTTGTTGGTTGGTGGTATCGTCGGGAGTTAGTTGTTGGCAACGTGGAGTCAAATAGATATCGAACAGCGTGTTGGTGTGCATGCCGGTGTTATTTTGGCGTCAAGAGGATCGTGGGCAGAGGTCGGAGAGGCGGAGGGGAGAGAGAGGAAGCGGGGGGGATAATGAGGGAGGTTGAGAGGAGGGGGGAAAGAGGAGGGGCGCGAAAGGGGGAATGGGGGCGGGTACGTTTGGTGGCAAGGTGGTCTGCTCGCCGCAGGATGCCGGTGTCGGGAGGGTGCTGAACGGTGTTGGTTTAGGAGTAAAATGCTGGCACGCCTCGCGTAGCTCTCTATGTCGGTTATGTCGGTTATGTCGGTTTGGAGTGGTCGAACAACCTTTCAGATACTTGTAAAATGCAACCAACCAGCATCACCCTTCCCTGCTGGTTCCGACCGGTGCAACGGATGCGAGGTTTCATCTTTCCTCGGTTTCGTGTCTCGAGCGGCTGACTTCCAGGAAGGGGTCGGGAACGTATCGTTGATACATGCTGCCATGAGAGAGGTACTCTCCCGAATGTAAAGTAACAGCGCGGAGCATTACACATACAAACGATCAGCAATGCTACGTACTCAGACGCATCGGAAGCTAAGGCTCACTCACATCCTTGAACTCCTTAGCGGCGTAGCTCTTGCCCAGGGTGAGAACGTCGAGCCGGGTCACGATTCCGAAGGTCCCCTGCCCGAGTTCCTTCACGCCGACGGCCCAGACGCTGCCGCCCTCGCCCCCGTTCCGAGCCCGGTGCTGCTGACTAACCACGTCGGTGGCCACGAAGAGCTCGTCCGACCCGTCGCCGTAGCGCTCCCGAGTCTTGGCGACGAACCTCTTGAACTCTCGTCCATGGAACCAGTCTCCGTACACTCCTCGGGCGATGGAGTTGGCGGGTACGGAGGGTATTACGGCGACTTCCGCCAGCGCTGCCTTGCAGGCCTCTGCTTCCAACTATTTGGGTTGTAGGGATAGGAGATATCGGTGGCGGAGGTTGTTCGTTCAGATTCACGCGGCGGGTATTATATAGAGCTTAAACAACGAGCGGTCGGTGGGATGGAGAACCGTTCAACGTTTTGGCACTCCTGGTAAGCCTATGAAACTAACAGCCTGCCACCCGGACGGCGGATTGATTGCCGATATAGCGATATACGCCGCTACAGGTGTTGTGTCTTTACCGGGAGGGGGGGTCGGCTGACAAGGGAACTCAAGGCTTCATGCGCAAGACCCACAAGTACCCCAGCTAAGAAGGAAATGGTGTTCAAATCAAGGTGCGAGCGTAGGGATGGAGGGTGGGGGGCAAGGAAGAGAGCCAAACAAAGGGCGGAAAAAGACAAGTCCAGGTGTATCAGCATCGTGTCACAGCTGCCGCCCCCATTGCCGCTGCCTCTACTCCGTAAAAATGGGACGGGATTTGTATGCATACGAATAGTGCGAGCAAGGCTTGACGGGGTGGGGCGGGAGTTGTAGGGCAGGACGTGTAGATTGTTGCGTCTGCTGGTGTTCATTTGGTTCGACGAAGAGGGCGATGCATCACCCTTCGATTTTGGCGGCCGGGAAGTTCAAAAATTACGATACTACGGATGCGTGCCAAAAAGGTTCAGGCGCAACAAGCGCTTCACACCCAAAAACAAGGTGAGCCCATCAGACACTGTCAAGGGCGGGGGCAAAAAAGGCACGTCACCACAATTCGACCAGGCTCGACGAAATGCCCTGAACGAGCAGGAGAAAATCGCCACCGAGGAATTCCAGCCGACGGTGGCCGCAGGAAACCGACTCAGGGTGAGAGGGAGGGAGTCGAAAGTGAGTGCTATGGCAAGCATTCTTGTGTGGAGTAGTGCGCAAACGACGATCTGTTGGTTGCGCACTCGAGGGATACAAGGTGATGATGACTTGCATGTATATACAACCGTGACACCTTCACTCCCCCCCTCTCACCCTGAATCGGTTGGCCTCGGCCATGTCCCGCCGGAAGACCTCGGTGGCGGCCTTCACCTCTGCGTTGACGACCGCTCGTCTCGCCTGGTCGGAGATTCGATGGGCGGGTGAATGCACGTGAATGTTTTAGCGTTTCTGGTTCATCTTGTTTTGTAGCGCATCAATACTCAACACCTGTGGCATATTTAGTACGTTGTCCTATCAACAGCCCATCGTTCGAAGGAAGGGAGGGTAGCCTCAAAGGTTGGTGAACAATCAAATATTTAGCCCTGCTATTGTGCGAGACGTGACTGGTGGGATGGTGCCGCCAACATCGATGCGAGTAGTGTAGGGCTACGGTGGGGGGTCGCTTTGTGCCAACCAATGCCACCGAAACAACAACGGCACACCCTGAACGGTCCCCTTGTATTGAGGGGACGAAGGGGACGGAGGGTTGGCTTTGTCCCTTGCGGGGGTGAATCACAGCCTTGGTGTACTTGTTTCGCGTAGAACTGTAAAACAGCTCTCGTAGACCATACGCTCAGGTTAGCATTGCGCGGGCACGCGTTATTTGTTTAATTGAGTACAGTTTGCTATTTAGGGCATCGTTGAAGAAAAAACAATGCAACAACAGCGACAACAACGACAACAACGACAACGGCAGCAACAATGGAGACAGAGAGGATTCACCTTCGACAACTCAAACCAAACGCCGTGGGAACGTTCCACGTACCTCCGTCAGAAGTGCCGCCTCAAACGAAAAACGCCAAACATCAGACTGTACATAGTACAAGCTTGCAGATTTCAAGTTGTTGAAATACCCAACATTTTTCGTCTTACCTCGCTCGCCAGAATTACACGGTCTAAGCCACGAAGATTCTCAGCTGATATCTCCAACCTGTAGCGCATGAGCACACAGAGAACCCTTCTCTCCTCTCTCAGCTTCCTTATCTGCGGCGCCTCCACCCTTCGCCGAATCGAAGTCGCGCTCTGCTCGCCGGCTTGCGCGCAGTCCACACCGGCGTCGCCCCCTGACGCCGCCGTTGCTGCTGCTGCTACTGTGGCTCTCGGCAAGGAGAGCAGTCTGTCAGCTTGCACCGGTACTTCTTGCTTCTGCATCGCGTCTGCAGTATGCTGAAGAACCGGAATCGTCGGCGGTTTCCGGTCACCGTGGCCAGCGTTGCCGCAGCCGGTGCCGCGGTTGTCGCTGAAACCTCCGCCTGCACAGAAGGAGTCACCACCGCCGGCGCCCGCCGCTCCCGCCGGCGTCGCTCCCGCCGCCACCGTCAGGCAACCCACGGCCCGGCCACACCCTTCTCTTGCTGCCGCTTCCCTTGCCGCCTCCGTGTTCTTAGTGCCGGTCTGAGGCGGGCTGGACTGCCGCCGCTGCGGTTTCGGAGGGCTCCCCCAATCCGTGCGGCCACCGTGGCCAACGTCCTCGGGTCTCGTCGACAGGGGGTGCGTGGAGACCATCATCTTCACCCGCCTGCCGCCCAACGACACTTCCACCGCTTCACGGAGCGGGCTCATCAACGACCTTCGGTACCCGCTTTCCCTGCAGTCGCCAACGCCGTCGCCCCCCCGTGGCACAACCAGCCGAGGAGGATAGATGTTAGTCACTCCTTTCCCTGGCGCCACTAGCCCGGGCGGCCTTCTCATAGTCACTCCTTCCCCTGGTGCCACTACTAGCCCGGGCGGCCTTCTCATCTCACCCCGTCCGTGTTTTTCCGGAGGCGGGTTCCCAAACCCACTGCCGCTGCCGCTGCCACCGCCGCTGCCGTTTTCATCGTCTGCTACCGTCGCCCGTGGCGAGATCACCGCCATCATGCCGGCCTTCACCAGCATGTCCCTTTCCAAGTTGTTAGCCCACTGCTGGGCAAGACTTGTCGACGGGCCTGGGAAAGCGGGGCTGCAGCTGGCGTTTTCACAACGGCCACACCCCGCTGGTGCTGCGGCTGCTGCTGCTGCTGCTGTTGTCGATGATGATGCTGCTGGTGATACGGTTGCAACTGATTTGCACAAGAGACCGATGCCGCCGCTTCCTTCCGGTGTACCGGGCCCCCGGCGGCGACCAGAATAGTCGCCACCACCGCCGCCGCCGCCGCCGTCGCCGATGGTCGACAAGAAACGATCCTCGTGCCTACGGCCGGCTCCTTCCGGCGGCCCTCTCGAGCGTACACCGTTCATCCCCGTCGTCACCTCCTCCGCCCCCCCACCTTCTTCTTTTCCACCACCCTCGCCGAGGAAGTGGTCGAGGGTTCCGTTGCGGCGAAGGTTTCGGCGAGCAAGTTCCAGCATTACCGTGCATCGGCCCTCGGCCAGCCTGCAGGCCTCGAGGCCAGCTGCCGGACTCGTCCCGGCCTCGTTTAGGCGGATGACCAGGTCCGCTACCCTGTCTTGGTCGCCGCAACGGTGGACCTGCAATCACGGTGGGAAGGTGGGGTTGGCGGGGAGTTACCCCTTTAGAGCTGAGTACTGGTCACGGGACGAACACTCTGGACTACATATGCAGTATCAAATGAAAAAAAATCAAAACCATACACTGTTCTTTACTTCCTGCATATGATACAACACCACCAAATACATTTCACCGATGCACGAAGTAAAGGAAAATGTTACTTGTGGGGGTTTTGTATTTGATACGCATCCAGTTTTTTTTAATTCGATACTTCATGTGTAGTTCAGCGTGTTCATCCCTTGACCATCACTTACTTGCAACGGCGTAACGCCCCCCCCTCCCACCCGCCCCCTGCCCCTTCCCCCCAATGCTTCAGGCCTACGGTTGCGACGACCAAGTCAGGATGTCAGACCTGGTCGAGCGCATGAACGAGGCCGGGACAAGTCCGTTGGCTGGCCTCGAGGCCTGCAGGCTGGCCGAGGCCCGAATCGATGGTGTTTAGAAGAAGTTATTTTGAACACCGTT